AGGTGGGGGGCAGGAATGAGAAACAGAATGCTCCAGAAATGAGGCTACATGTCATGCATGGTTCTACATGACAGCTGATGTGCCACAAGCCTGCCTAACACTGAGTGTGATGTTTCAATTGCAGGGTTTCCTTTAGGGGCCTCAGCTCTAGTTCTGGGACACATCACTAGGCAATAAGGATCTCTGAGGCTCTTAAAATGATTACCTGTATTCATTGTTTCTAACTATCTGGTTTTTATAAACTAAAATTTCAATGGGGAAAATGGAGAGGATAATGCTGAGACCTGAAAGGATTTGGATTTTAAAAAAAAGATCTTAAAGCACAGATCCTAACTATATATAAAACAAGGACGATGACATGCCTCCTACAAACACAGACATCCCCTGACCACAATACAATTACCAAATCAGGAAAGTAATGTCCTTACTTTCCGACATCTCATCCTGACCTCATTGATGACCTTTGTACACAGACTCATCCAGAACAACACTTTTTGCTTCGTTGCAGACCTCTTTTGTCTCCAGTCTAGAAGTTTCGGTCTCTCATGACCTGGTTCCTTTCGGGATTATGAACAGTTATTTTGGATAATCAACTTAATACCTGATGACTGGTTTATATCCACGTCTGTGTTTGTTAGGTGTGTCTCAGGACCTGTGTTATATTGTTCCCATCACACCGTATCAGACGGAGCATGGCTCTTTCCATTCGTCCTCTCAGCGTTAATGTCAACTTCAATCTTGACTAAGGCTTTCTAGTTTGTGAAGATTTCTAAAGGTTCTTTTTGTCTTATTAATATTTACAAGGGGGACTTCTGAGACTACAAACACTCTATTCATCGAAATTGCAGTTTGTTTTTTAAAACTTATTTTTGTGTCCATGGGTGTTATACCTGCATCATGTATGTCTGTGTGCCAGGTGCACGCAGTGATCTTGGAAGTCAGAAGAGGGCATCAGATCATGTGGGGACTGTGAGCAGTCATGTGGGCGATGGGAACTGAACCCAGCCTCAGGAGCGGCTGGGCCATCTCTCCACTCCCCACAGTTCTTTGTTTTGTTTTGTTTTATAGATTCCCATCTTAGTCTATGAAATGTAATCCAACATTTTAATGCTCAGGATGGCCAACAGTTCTTTCAATTCACATATTTTAAAACGTTAAAATAATGTTTGCAGGAATGGTGAGATGTCTCAGTGGGCCAAAATGCTACCCTGCAAACCTGGCATACCGAGTTTGATCCCTTGATCCCACGGTGGAAGGACCATCTCTGGCAAGTTGTTATCTGACCTCTCTCTATGGGCTTGCCTACACAAACCACGTGCACACACACACAGAGTCACAGATATCTGAACACACATGCACACCACACACAGAAATACAAGTGCATGAACACACAGAGAGACACACACAATTTTTTTTTTTTTTTTTTTTCTCTGAGACAGGGTTTCTCTGTGTAGCTTTGCGCCTTTCCTGGAACTCACTTTGTAGACCAGGCTGGCCTCGAACTCACAGAGATCCGCCTGCCTCTGCCTCCCGAGTGCTGGGATTAAAGGCGTGCGCCACCACCACCCGGCCCACAAATTTTTTTTTTTAACAACCATGAGAAACTTTAAAAATGTTTGTGGGACACATTATGCATACAGTATAATATATAAACACGTTTACAGTTGAAATTATCTACCCAAGAAAGAATATAGTCTGCATCTAGAAGTCCTGTGGGTACTCCTCCATATATAAGTAGTACCTTGACATTTATAATCACCATTCCTTTTTTTTTTTTTTTTAAGTTTTCCTACATATCTGTGCCAGCTGGCTAGTTTTTTTTGTTTGTTTGTTTTTTTTTTTTTTTTTTTTTTTTTGGTGTTTTAAGACAGGGTTTCTCTGTGTAGCTTTTGGAGCCTGTCCTGGAACTCACTTTGTAGACCAGGCTGGCCTCGAACTCAGAGATTCTCCTGCCTCTGCCTCCCGAGTGCTGGGATTAAAGGCATGCACCACCACTGCCCGGCCTGTGCTGGCTAGTTTTATTTCAACTTGGCACAAGCTAGAGTCATTTTAGAACTTTTTTTTTTTTTTTTTCAGTTGAAAAAAAGCCCCACCAGATTGGCCTCTGGGCAAGCCTGCAGTTTGCATTTTCTTGATGGATAATGTGGGAGGGCCCCGCCCACTGTGGGTGGGGCCACCTCTAGGTACATGCTCCTGGGAGGGTACAAGAGAGCAGGCTGAGCAAAGCCTGAGGAGCAGGCCAGAAAGCAGCACACAATGGCCTCCGCTTCAGTTCCTGTCTTGAGGTTCCTGCCCTGAGTTCCTTCCCAACTTCCCCGATGATGGCCTACTTTCAACACATTTCATTCACTGCTGCGTCTGCGATCTATACATGGAAAAAGAAACCTCGGACTGAGGATGTAGCCTAGTAGGGAGTACACTTGCCCAGCACACAGAAGGGCCTAGAATCAATTCCCAGCACTACTAAAAACATCTCATTAATCCTTACACAGCACATGAAAATTAATTACAGGCCTACTGTAGATCTCAAGGTGAGCAAAGTTTCTGGAAGAGCAATGTCCAGTACTAAACTGCAACAGAAATGCCCAATAAACTCAATCTTACATGGCAATGACAAACTACACGTGGCTACTGAGTACTTGAGATGTATCTAGTGTAACTGTAAATGTTAATTTCAATCAACTTTATAAAAACTAAGAGATGTCTGTTCACCAAAAGATCCCACTGAGAGAGCAAAAGACCAGCCAGAGACAAATGACTTTGACAGTATATGAAGAACCTGATCAGGGAATTAAGGAAGGGGCAGGAGGCAGAAGGAACTATTCACAGGGAGCCATGGCCGGGTGCAGCTGTCCATGTGTGACTTCAGCATTGCAGGCTGAGCCGTGAGGACTACCACTGCCTTAAAAAACTAACAAACACCTGGCTTGTGAGGAACCATCTGCAGGTAAAGGCACTTCCCACCAAGCTTGAACCACCCCCGAGTTCTAGCCTTAGCACCCCAAGTGGGAGGAGATCATCGACTTCTGAAAACTGTCTTCTGACCTGCACACATCCCTTGCAGAAATAAATATAAAAATATCCCCCTATAAAAATGAGCTACCCATCTGTTAGTAAGTGTTGGAAATGTCCACTGATGGAAGGAACGCTGTTTGCTCGTTTGTGGTCCTAGAAACTGAGTCCACAGCACGCTAGGCAATAGCTCCATCACCAAATGATTTCCCGAGCCCAGAAGGAACGACTTTTAACCCAACCATTTTGGTATTATCTGCTAACACTGAGTATTTGCATACCTTCTATCAACCAGCACTGGGATTTTCACCCCACTGAAATGCACACAGATACACACACTTTGTAGATGCACTAGAGGACAAGTGAGAAAACAGATCTTGTACGCATAAGGTCAGATGAGAAGTCAGCCAGGACCCATCAACAATGGATGAATACGAGGGAGGCAGCAAACCTGGCCTGGTGTCGGAAGCCAGAGAGCGAGAGCACTATGGAGTTCTGAGCAGAGCATCTATGGGACAGGCCATGTTCTTTCTCAACTATACATTTCCTGTAAATCTACGTTGTATAGACATGTCATACATGTTATAATAAAAGTTTGTGTTTCAATAGTAGGGTGTGGTGGCACATGCCTTCAACTCCAGCAGAGGCTAGCCAGGGTTTAGTGAAAGTCTGCCTTAAAAAAAAAAAGCGTTCCAGGTAAGTCTTAGCATGGGATTATTGTAAATGAAACAACGTGTCAAACAGGTCTTTTCCTGTTCTATTGGAAGAAGTCTAATTCAAACTAATTTAAGAAGAAAAGTACTGGCCTAAACAGTTTACAAAACAAGTGATCAACCCCTACCCCGGACCCATAGACTGAAAAAGCCACCAGGTGGCGGCCTTTCAACCCCTCACCACTGTTTTTGCCCGCATGTGCTGTCAGGCAGCTGGGTGCTCTGCCGTGGATTTTCAGGCTGGCTTTATCTTCAAGGCAGCGATGCTAGCAGAGAACATCTTTGAAAAGTTCTCATAATTTCAGATCTGCCTACTTGAGTCACACTTGAGACCATTCTGTCCCATTTGAACCCCAGGATCAAGAATGAAAAGGTGGCTGGAGAGATGGCCCAGTGGCTGAGTGTGCTGGAAGCTCCTGCGGAGGTGGGTCTCCAGCACCCACAGCCTGTGGCTCACAACTGTAACTCCAGCTTCAGGAGATCCAACACCCTCTTGGCCTCCATGGGTACTCTCATACACACAGCACACATGCTATGAACATGAACACACACAGAAAACAAAATGAAAGGATGTTGGGTGCTTTCCAAGGGAAAATCAGGAGACTGTTCCCAGAAAAGGGGGAATTGAAGGACAGAGAGATAAAAATTTCTGCTTATTTGCGGAAAAATCTATGTATCATAACCAACTATTATCTTTTCCTAACCGAGTAGCCAATGTGCTTTGTGGAAGTATTCGAACTTCTGGGAGAGGGAAAATGAATGATCTGATTTCTTTGATACAATCTCTCCCTCCTTAGGCTATCTTGCACACTATAATCAAATGAATTTTTCCAAGTATAGGGAATAATCCTAAGGAACGATACTCACTAGGTTGAAAGTTTGAGATCATTCCTGCTCTTCCACGACCTCATCTTTCCACTCACACTCCTCCCCTGTGTAAATCAGTGCCTTTCAGGGCTTGTCAAGGATCTACAAGAATGTAACATTCACTAAGGCAGCCAGGGCTCTAGACATTTGCTTTGTAATTTTTCCTTTTCGATCTAAGAATATAGTAAAATAATAAATATTAAGCATGCCTTTCAATATACAATAATTTCTCATCTAAGCCAATCTGCCACTAGACCAAGCTTATCTGTCTAAAACAGTAACTTGAGATGATAAAGCATCACAGATAAATGGCCTTTCTGTGACAGGAAAACTTGCCAGAGAACTGTTTTCCCTAGTACTCATCCTTTCTTTACCCATGAATAAATTTTCGGTATGCAACTGCCAGTGTCAGGTTTCAATGACTTAGTTCAGAAATTGTAGTTTTATTTGAACACAGAAATGGAGTTTTAATAGAATTCAGTCTCCATGCTGGAGTATATAACACACCTTTTCATTCTCTGCTGACAGATTTACTTACAGGCCAACTTAGTAATTTGCAAAATACAAACTTACAAAATAAAGTGACATCTTCTAAACAAGGATTAAATATGAATGAAATTCCTGCCTTTTTTCAATCTTGGACATCAATTTCAGGGCCTTGTGCATGTTAGGCAAGAGCCTTAGTCTCAAACCTGGAAATTACTTTTATAATTAAGTAAAAGGTGAATTAAATGCAGGAGCACATCACTATCTTTGTATTTATTTAAGCCAAGGAACTCCAGATGCTGGCCGTCATCAGTCATCCTCTTTCTCGATGTAAGTCTTTGCATTAATTCGTGCCATCTGCCTGGCCAAGTACCTGTCTCTAGCCGACATCACGGTTTCCTCGTTGCTCCGCTTTGCAAACTTGCTCAAGGCCTCAGGGGGCCTCTCTTGCTCACTGCCCTTCTCCTGCCTCTCTTCTGTCAGTCTGTGTTTTGTTGCTAGTGACGTTTCAGAAGGAGAGGGCTTCTCCTGGTCCCCCCCTTTGTCCTTCCCCATGTTTCTTGTTTTGCTGGATCTTTCCTGGTCCAGAAACTCATCGTCTGGTCTGGACCCCGGGCTGCTCTCCCTCCTGTCTCGACTTCTCTCTTGTTTTTCCGTCTCTCTGTATCTACCGTTGTCTTCATGTCTTTCCTGCCTCCCTTTCACACGCTCGTCTTTGTCTCTGCCTCTCTTTCCCCTCTCACTGTATCGGTCGTGGTCATCTCGTCTGTCTCTGTCACGTTCCCTAGAGGGGTATTTCTCCCTTTTCCGTCCTCTGTCCTGTCTTTCTCTCCGTTTATCTTCCTGCTCCCGCCTCTTCCAGTAGTGATCTTTACGGTCAGCTTCTCTGTGGCTGTGAGAAGTCTTCTCTTGCCGGTGGCCGTGGTCCGTGGCACAGCCCTCCTGGTCTCTGGCCGTCCTGTCCTGGTGCCCACCTCCCTTTTGTTCATGTCCTCTTGACTTGGGACTTCGGCTGGAGTGGTGCTTGGTACCCCCGGCCTCTCTCTTCACTGGACGGCCGTGAGAGGCTCGGACTCCTGGGATGCTCGCGGTGGTTCCTGGAGGCTCCTGTGTCTCCGTCCCGTCTGTGGTTTACTTTATGGTCCCCCCCTTCATCATCGTCACTGCTCTTACTGTCAAAATCGCTGTCAGCATCCGGGTTCCCCTCGTCACCAGTTTGGAGAGCGCAGTTCTGCTGTGGTCTGTCCTCTGAATTTGCTTCATCAGAGTAACCCCTGAGCTTCTCTTCTTTTATTTCAGTCCTAAAAAAGAAAAAAAAAAAAAAGAAAAAAGAAAAAAAAAAGAAAGAAAAAAAAGTATATATAGATACACAAAATGCGACTTTATTAGTTGTAGAAAGCAAAGGAATGCTCATGTAAATTTTCTCAATACTTTACTCAATACAACTAAATTATATGTACTGTCTGATTGTCCAATGCAGAAAAGTGATGTCTATCTTTTTTTTTTTTTTTTTTGGTTTTTCGAGACAGGGTTTCTCTGTGTAGCTTTGCGCCTTTCCTGGATCTCGCTCAGTAGACCAGGCTGGCCTCGAACTCACAGAGATCCGCCTGGCTCTGCCTCCCGAGTGCTGGGATTAAAGGCGTGCGCCACCACTGCCTGGCCTATTTATCTTTTAAATTAGTGCCATCAAACAGCTGAGAACACTTTAATACTGACAGAAGTAACATAAAGAACACAGTCCTTCTCTCTTAGGTCACCAGAACCTTTAGGGAAGGATCTGTACAAGGTCTCATTTTTCTTTCTAGTTCTAGACAAAGAATAATTGGGAAAAGCAAGTTATGCCATGGATCTAAGTTCTATTTTCACAACATAAAATTCAAGTTGTGATTATTAGATTTTTCATTTTGTTCTTTCAAGTCCTAGAAATACACGAGGATAATTTCCCACAGAAAACAGTACCAAATCTAATTCTAAATATTACTAATTAAACCTTTCTAAGATCAGAAAGGGATCATCGACTTGATACAGTGTCTCAGTGCCCATCACAACAGAAAGGAAATTGCTCAATCTTCCTGGCTGTTGACATCAGCAACCCTAAAATTATTTATATCACCTACACTCTTCTACCTGTGTGATTAACTTGATGATAACACTCCCACATGACTGTCTGTTCCTAGTGCTGGAGGACTGGATGTAGTTAAGCATGTTAGTCAAGTGTTCTAAAATATCCACATGTCCTCTGCAAATTCTCCCTTTTACATTTAGCTATACTGTACACATGACATAATTGCCTTACTATTTCTATAATATCTTAAACTTTCATGTAAAAGTCTTTTAATCCTTTGCTTTCCAGATCAGAGATGGGTAACAGATATGTCTACAGAAATGGTTAATATCTACAAATATCTACCTCTGAGCTGTTCGGTACTGTACTTTAGCCAAAAATGGCAGCATAGTACTTGAAATATAGAACTAAGATTAAAATTTTAGATTTTATTTACTTTTAAGTTACCTGAATACCCAACATGTAACTACTGCTGATATTACACAGGGTAGTTTTAGTCTCTGATTTGTGAATCTGACCTTTATGGAGGCTGGGTTCTACTCTAGAAAATAAGCTACTTTCATATCACATGCTATCTAATGATCATGTAGAATTACATGCTGTACAACCCAATCCTTTACCAATCTCTCCTTACTTCTTGCAGTGATTGTTATCAGGCACCAGGGCCATAAATGTTTTTAGTTGAAGAAAGACTACACTTTGGTTTTGTTTCTCCTATAAGGCCATACGTAAGACCCATAAAGCACTTAAATAGTCAGAAATTTTGTACACTAAAAATGTTTTAATGTACACTAATAATTTTTTTGTGAGCTGCAGACTAAAAACTATGTTGAACAAAATCTTTAGGTTTTTCAAGTTCAGAAACTGTAAACTCCACTCATGTTGGCTAAAATACAATAAAAAGCCAATGCTGTTCCCATCTACTCAAGAGTTTAGACTCCCAAATGGCATAACCACAGACTGTCAAGGGTATCTTTCGTCTATATTCCACTTGCCTCCTCTTACCTGGCTTCACGGAAGCTGGACTTAGGGAGTGCTTCCTCTCCCACGGCTTGATTTAACAGATGCCTATAAAACCCACTAAGGTCCTTCTGCTTGGTCACATCCAATCGTGCTGGAGGGAAAGCAGAGACAAACTGAGAATGCGGACTCAGCAAAGCACAGTGCAGCTTCCTTCTACATATGCAGAACATAAATCCCACCAAGACGCATAAACCTTCTCTAGACCAGGGGTTAGGGATACCTCTCAATGTTTTTAGATGCACAGGGAGGTCATGGACAACCTGTGGGAGTTGGTTCTCTTTTGCCATCATGTAGGTCCGAGGGATCAAACTCAGGCTGCCAGGCTTGGTGGCAAGCTCCTTTACCTGCTGAGCCATTTCCCTGGCCCAGAACCACCTTGCAGATTTAGTTTTCTTTCACGTGACATTGAAGAGCATTGCCCAATTAAGACACGGACAAGTTACACATCACAGTTTGACCTTGAGGAACTGACTCTGAGAACACTCAAGTCAATGGCTAAGATATTCCTTAGCCCCTGATTATTAATGGTACTCTTTTTCTAACTGCCCAGTTAATGTTCCTTGAGTGGTGTTAAACATTTTCTCATCTCAGAATACGTAACTAGAGTTTAAAGTTTATTTATGTTTCTGGCAAATGTAATGTTGTTACATTTGGAATTTCTAAGACAATGGCTTGTAGCGATCATAGCTTAAGTAATAAAATAAGAAGTAAATGAAAAGCCCCAGAGGAACAGCAGGCAGTTAAGGGTTCAGCTGCATCTCTGGTTACCACGGCCTCTCCCCGTACAGACGCACACACTGCAGCCACAGCAGTGGAGCCGAGCCCGACGACAGAGCACACGGCTCGGGCAGCACTCTGCGTGTGTTCCCTCCTCGCTTACCTTCCAGGGCAGCCGCCCTCTTCTCTCTTTCCTCCTCTTCAGCTCTCTCTTCCAGTTTCTTCTTATAAGCAGATGTCACAAATGCCTCTTTATCATCAAATTCTCCGTTTTCCATCTCTCGTTCTCTCTGTATTTTCTTTTCCATTCTTTTTTCCTGTTCCTTTTTTCTGATCTCAACTGCTTTTAGTAAGTTGTGAATATATTTGGGCTACGGAAAATACATTTAGGAAAGAGGGAAAAAATGACACCCATTAATATAGAAATGTTTAATCTAAGTAGTAAGTCTTTTCAAAAATCAGAATAAGGTTGCTGCAAAAGTACTACTGAAATGGTTCCTACTAAAAATTTAAGTGTAGCAGATGGAATGGTGGCACACACTTGTAATCCTAGCCCATGGGAGTCAAAGGCAGGATAGTCACACCAAGGTCAAGACCAGCTCAGTCTAATATCCAGTTCAAGGCAGGAGAAGGCTAGAGAAACCTGGCCCACCCCCACGCGGTGCAGGGACCAGACTGGCCTCAGATTCACAGCAACACTCCGGCCTGCTTCTTCAGTGTGACCCTAGTTCCCAGCTGCTAGTTATCCTTTGAGATAGCGCATGACACAGTCTAAGCTGGCCTTGAACTTGCTATATATCCAAGGACGGCTCTCGTCTTCAGACCCTCCTGCCTCAGTCTCCCAATGGCATATGCCACCATGCCTGGCTCTAAAAAACATTTTTTGAAACAGGGTCTTACTATGCAGCCTGGCTGTCCTTGAACTCATACCCACCTGCCTCTGTCTCTCAAGTACTTAATTAAAGTGTGGGCCACTATGCCTGGCTACTTGATAGTCTTACTTCAACAATGAATCAGAAAACAAATCAGGAGCAGTATAAATCTAGTATACAGAATTGCTAAAGAAAAATTTTCAAAAAATTATTTGCGAAGGTTTCAAGATTAAAAAAACTTCAGAAATACTCGATAATTTACTTGACATCTGCTAGGACCTATATTCTAAAATCAAATCTATAATTTAGAACCAAGAACTCATTGCAATACCTAAAATTTTTTACTGAAGTCACTTTCCATCAAAACCAAAACCAAACAAACAAACCAGGTCAAGATCAAAGAAAGTTGTGTTTCAGCTACTAACCTTTCGATCTTTCCCCAAAAGCAATTTGGGATTGTTTTCTTCCTTTTTTTTCTGCATTTCATCATAAATGCTGTCATACTCATACACAGTGGAATCTTCTGCAAGAGCTTTCTGAATTTCCAGTTTGGTCTTTAAAAAAAGCAAATGTTAAAAAAATATGCAGCAGTCAACAGATACCACGAAAGGTCTTATGTTTTTCATCAAGGTTCATAAATTAGAAAGCTATCTTAACAACTGCACCAGCCACATTTCAAGACAGGAAGTACGAATGTAACCCCCACCGCAGACCACCCCCACCGCAGACCACCCCCACCGCAGACCACCCCCACCGCAGACCACCTGGGGCTGAATCTTGGCTCCTCCTACTCTGAGCAGTTTCTGTGCTTTAGTCTCCTCAGTTCAAAGAATGACGATTACATCTACTAAGTCGTGATAACACAGGGAGTAAGTGTCCAATAACACTGAGTATGACATTGTCAATTACATGTGATTATCCACATCAAAAATTTAAAAAGTCGAAGGCACGACTGAGCAACAACATGTAGCCCTGGCTTATTTTTTATGTTACATTTAAGAAATGAGGTTTCCTAATAAATAGTTTTCAAAAGTACGATCATAGGAAACACATTAAAGTTCCTAACATTAAAAAAATCTAAACACACCAGGCGCGGTGGCGCACGCCTTTAATACCAGCACTCAGGAGGCAGAGGCAGGCAGGCAGATCTCTGTGAGTTCGAGGCCAACCTGGGCTAAAGAGTAGATCCAGGACAGGCGCAAAGCTACACAGAGAAACCCTGTCTCAGAAAAAAAAAAAAAAAAACAAGAAAAAAAAAAAAAAACAAACAACTAAACACAGCATTAAATGGGAGCTGTATCGCTATTAGTTTTACACTATCAATTATATAATGTCCTCTGCTTTTATCATGTTTCTATCTTGTTCTTCCTCTTCTGGCACATCAAAATCTTATCTAGAGGCTAGTAAGATGGCTCAAGGGTTAAGAGCACTGGCTGCTCTTGCAGGGGACCTGGGTTCGATTCCCAGCACATGTCACATGTTGGTTCACAACCATGCATTAACTCTCCAGTTCAGGAGATTTGATGCTCTCTTCTGGCTTCTGGGGACATCAGGCACGCAAGTGGTGCGCATACATGCAGGCAAAAAACTTATACATATAAAATAAATCTTAAAACAACAACAACAACAACAACAACAACAAAAAAAAAACTTACCTGTGAGTTTCAGGGCTATTCAACCTCTACATCTTAAATGAGGTCATCTCCGAGAAATTTAATTACCAACACTGTATTTCTTCTGACTCTGATAAAACACTGTACACTTCAGTATTCAACTCTTTTCTTTTTTAGATTTACTTTATGTGTATTTTATGTGTGTTTTGCCTGCATGTATGTCTGTGTATTACATAGTGCCCAGGAGAACAGAAGAGGGAGTCCAATCCCCTGGAACAGGAATTAATGTGGTTGTGAGCCTCCATGTAGGTGCTGGACCTGAACCTTGGTCTTCTGCAATATACTTTGAACTGCCAACCCATCTCTCCATCCTCTTGACTCCCAATAGTATGTTTAATGTTACCACCTACTGTTACACCACAAATTGTAATCTTTTGTTCCAACTAATTAGTTTCTGAAATGCAGAGCTGTACATATTTATTTTTTTTTTTGAAGCACTATACTGACTTGTTTAATACAGATGCTAAAAGTGGTCCTTTTTAAGAAAGGGCGATATAACTATTCAAAAGAATCTACCTGGTTATCTTCAGGTTTCTTTGCAGTACTAAGGATTGAATCCAAGGCCATGTACATGGCAAACCAATCCACTACCACTGAGCTACAGCCTCAGTGTCCTAGGTCTCTGCACTAAAACCTTCAGAGTCTAGAATAATGTACATATAAATGAATACACTTTCTCTGGAATATTGTTAAGTACCAAGAATCCCACATCCCGGACTTCTCAATGTTCACAAAATGATGACAACGAACAGCTGCTCCCTCCACCGACTAGCTGGTGAACCCAAGAGGGAAACATGGCATCTAAGAAAGATTATACAGCCATCTCCAAAAACTAACAACAAAACATCTGGAAGTGGTGGCACACGTAATCACAGGACTTGGGAGGTGGAGGCAGGAAGATTGGGAGTTCAAGAACAGGGTTGGCTACATAGTGAGCTCCAGGTCAGCTAGGGCTCCAAAATGAGACCTTGTCTCAAAAAAACAAAAACAAAATACAGGAATGCTCTGAGGTAAATATACTGCCTTAAAGAATTATATCAGACAAGGCAATAAACAAAAGATTCATGTACTCATCTAAAAATCTCAGGAGAAGGAGGGGCTGGACAGACATCTCAGTGGTTAAGGTACACTGCTCTTGCAGAGGACTGCAGCTTAGTCCCAGCTCCTACATTTGGCAGCTCATAACCACCTGCAACTCCAGCTCCAGAGGATCCAATGGGCCTGGCTTCCTTGGGTATCTACACTATCCAAGGATATGCATGTATCTACACAGAGATACCCACAGTCATACATGATTAAAAACAATAAAAATAAAACCAGCCAATGTTTCTGTAGAAATTTAGAAAAAGCTGGCAATAGTAATGCCGTATCATAAGCCCTGAGGACAACCACAGTCATTAAGGTCCCTGAAAACGGCTACACTATTGTAACACTGGCAAGCATTTTTGTAGTGCTTTTAATTAAAATTTCACTGTAGCTAATTCTAAGAACTTAAACTTGAAAAAAAAATCTCTGAAAAGGAGCTGGTGAGAGGGCTCAGTGATACTGAGCCTGACCAACTACAATGTCGGGAGAGCAATCCTAGGGGCTAGCCTGTGACCTCCACGCATGCCATGTCACATCCCCACCTACAATTTAAAAAATAAATGTTGTAATTTTTTAAACTAATAAACAAACAAACAAACAAATAAAGTAAGCCTGAAAAAAGTAGTATGAAGCAATGCATGGTGGTATAAACCTATTATCCCAGCACTTGGTAGGCTGAGGCAGGGGTATTACAGATTCTAGGCCAGCCTAGGTGATAGGCAAGACTTTATTTCTAAATAAATACACTAAAACACATACACACACACACACACACACACACACACACACACACGGCAGGGCAGGACAAACCGCTCAGCAGCTAACAGCCCTTGAGCAGCACTGACCCGTGTCCAGTCCCTGGGAGCACGTGCATGAGTGGGCTGTGGTGGCACACGTCTGCAATCCCAGTACTGCTGCGACCACAGGAAAACAGGCCGGAAGTGGGAGGAAGCAGCACAGCGGCGGAAACAAGAAACAGACTAGAGAGACCACTCAACAGGCACGGGGGAGGACCAACTCCTGACCTCACACATGCCAGGGCATGTCACTCACACCCACACATGCACACATACACCTTTAAAGTAAAAATAAACTTACAAAGTATATATATACGTATTACTAGCTCATTCTGTAAGTGCTAACCATCCTGGCATTAGACTTTTCTCTCTCTCTCTTTTTTTCCGGAGCTGAGGACTGAACCCAGGGCCTTGTGCTCTCTACCACTGAGCTAAATTCCCAACCCTAGACTTTTTTCAATTTAGGTAATTACACTAAAATGCTGTATTTAATCATGACAAACAGTATTTTTCCAGTGAAATAGGTAAAATACAAAAATGTCACCATCACTTCTATGTAATTCAGGTCCAAATAAATAAGGAAAAAAAAGACTATTAAAGTATCATCCATTTTCTAGTTCATATTTTCTTTACAATCCGGTAAATGTAATCAAACTTCATAAGTTAGTTTGGAAATGGAGCAGAAGCAGCAGAGGCAGTCACCGTGGGGAGAGCACAGGGTGGCAGGTGAGAAGGCTGTACCATGATACATAACTACTGTCAATACTCCACTCTGGGCCATCAAAATCTGAGACCCGCATTCACAAGAAGTCAGTTCATTTTCATATATAGCTGTGTCACCAAAAGGGCAACTGGTACTTTGTCAGAAGCATGGATGAGTTTTCAGAATTTTAGAAGACAATGGATGCCTGGGAAGATGTGCTTAAAGCCTCTAGGGTGTTCCTAATGGAACCACTGCTGAACATGACCTGACTACTCCCCACTTCTTGGCAGATGAACTCAAAGTAACTGTGAAATCACTTTGGCTATGGCTAGACTTTTTTCTTCTGACAAGTGATTCCAAGCGAAACTGAACAAAGAAACAAATCCCAATGCTCCAAGCAACCTATTACCAGACTGCTGAGTCAGCTGTGGGCAAAGCTGGTTTAAACTCCAGCCTGGAAGAGCCAACTGTATCTTCCTTTAAAATGGATAAAGTCTGCAGTCTACATAGTGAGGAACAGTCTACACATAGTAAGAAATAAACAACTCCACTCCACAGGTTTACTCTGTTTTACTCTCAGTACTAGGTAAAAAACACTTGGTGAAACGCATTTGCTCTTTTCGTTTCCTACCTGTTTCATGGCCTGCTTCTTAGCAGCTTCCCTCTGAAGGCTTTCACTCACGGAGGTCTGCAAGACAGAAAAATGTCATTGTTTATCAAATTTAAATTCCCTTTCCATATTCTGGTTGGCAAATGATTCCTTACTTAAAGAGTTAAAAATAGAAAGGTAATATTAATTAAATTAACATCAGGGTCTTTCTCTCTAAATGTTAAGAGACAAATTAATTTCCATTGTAATGTATAAGAACAGACTCTAAGACATTAGAAAGAAAACAAGAAAAAAGCTGGTTGTGAATTTTGTACACTATACATCTGAAATGGGTAACACAGAAAAATGAGCTATAAGCATAGATGAATCTCTGTGAGTTCAAGGCCAGGCTGGTCTACAAAGTGAGTTCCAGGACAGCCAGAGTTGTTACTCAGAGAAACCCTGTCTCCGAAAACCAAAAAAGACATGCAAATAGATGGTTAACAGGCATATGAAAAAGCATGCTCAGTACCACAAACAGCAAGAACGTGCAAGCTGAAGCCACAAGGTACTGCCTCAATCCAGCTGAAATAGCTACTATAAAAAGACAAGGACTACAAGGATGGAGGAAACAGAGTCCTGCCAGGGAGTCATTTGGGGAAACAGGGTGGAGGTTTCAGAATGAATCAGAAACAGAACTACAATGTAACCCAGTAATCCTACTATTGGGTATTCAGCCACAGAGAAGGGAACTAGCATGTTAAAACACTACCAAAGTGTGGTCAAACAGATTAGTCATTGAACCCAAATTTCCCTGGTAAGCAGCACTTTCAATAAAATTTCTGTTTGTCTTTTGAGACAGTCTCACTACTGCAGCCCTAGTAAGCCTGGATCTTGCCATGTAGACCAGGCTGGCCTTGAACTCACATAGATTCGCCTGCCTCTGCCTCCTGAGTGCTGGGATTAAAGGCATGCATCACTATATCCTGCCAGTTTATCAATTTAAAACATTTATAGGAATAAGATATACTTCCAGTGTATTTTATGTCTATCTTTCTAATTAGTGCAAATGAAATGGATTTTTATCTTCCTTCCACAAACCAGAGAAAGCGAAAACAAACTCATTAAATGAAAAAATGGATTCTATATACCATGATATATAACTACTGTCAATACTTAATCATTAGCCTTAGAAAATAAAGAAGTTCAAAATAATGTTCACAAAGCAGTCAATACTTAATCATTAGCCTTAGAAAATAAAGAAGTTCAAAATAATGTTCACAAAGCAGCTCAGTGACCTGAGTTCTACATATGTCAAATTCCCCTGCTTCAATATCCCTACCATTTAATAGTCCCCACCTCACAGTATACATATGACTGGCTCAAAGGGGGAAAAAGACCAAAGATAAATATGCTCAAACGACAAAATATACTCATAAATTGATTAATTAAAACATTAGCACACGAACAATTCTAATTCTGCCTAAGACCAGTTCACAGTAAATCTAAAGAGAAAACTCATAAAAGGCATCTTTTTGAACCACAGATTACCACTCATTTTAAACTTAGGAAGACAAAAATTACATTCTCTACACTTTTAAAGATTTTATAAGCAAGATCATATATAAACATTTGAACCATCCTAAAAGTGAACAAAACAAAACACAACCCATAGAGATACTTAAAAGTGTATTTTCTGCCAAAAATCTCAAGAAGTCTATGAAACCTTGCAAATGTTTTTTGTTAGTTTGTTTTTGGTTTTTTTGAGACAGGGTTTCTCTGTGTAGCTTTGGAGCCTGTCCTGGAACTTGAACAGAGATCTGTCTGGCTCTGCCTCCTGAGTGCTGAGATTAAAGGTGTGTGCCACCACTGCCCAGCCTTGCAACAACACTTAGCACCTAAGTAAGTGGGTTTCTATTTACAGTTTCAAATAAAAAAATCAGCACCTATTCTATAGGTGCCCACCACACAATTCTAAGGGTTAAAGATATAAGATGGAGTCAAGTATGGGCATTGTAAATAAACTGCCATTTGATTTCTTAGTCTTTGTACTCCTCATTTACTCTATGAGAATAAAAATGATTCAACCATCCCAACGTTTACTACATTGAACTGAGCTGAGAGCTGGCCAAAGGGGAGACTTTTTGGTCACTATAGCCGGACTGCCTCCTGGGCCGTGGTGATTCACGGGAAAAGCAGCTCTGCAAATGCTGCTGGCATCTTTTACCAAGAGGCTGTGTAACTGTCTGAAAGACTACGGATACCAGGCCACTATTTATATTAATTTTTCCAGTCATAATCTTTAGCTGAACCAGTTTTCATTTTTATAGAAATTAACCTGTCATCCTGTACTTAATAAAGTATGGGGGAGGGGCATCTATTGCCTTTTTTTTTTTTGAAATGAGAGTTCACCTACCCACTGTCCAAAATAGCTCTTAGCTAAAGAAAAACAGTTCAAAAACTAATACTTCTTTTTAAATGGCTCATAGCTATGGTCTGTTGTGTTGGAGACTCAGAAGAGGAGAACTTCCTGTTCTTGTTTTTTTTTTTTTTAGGTTTTTCGAGACAGGGTTTCTCTGTGTAGCTTTGCGCCTTTCCTGGAACTCACTTTGTAGCCCAGGCTGGCCTCGAACTCGCAGAGATCCGCCTGCCTCTGCCTCCCGAGTGCTGGTATTAAAGGCGTGCGCCACCACCGCCCGGCCCTGTTCTTGTTTTTGTTTGTTTCGAGACAGGGTCTCACTGTGTAGCTCTGACTGTCCTGGAACTATGTAGACCAGGCTAACCTCGAACTCACGAGATCCACCTGCTTCTGCCTCTCAAGGGCTAGGATTAAAGTTGTGCACCACCACCGCCTGGCTTCCCCTGTCCTTCTTTTAACTTAGCAACAGACCATTTACTCATGGTCCTGTAACTCAGCAACCTCTGTTATGGGCTTAATTTACTCATATTTATACTTGTTAAAAATGCAAAACCTGCTTAAGAGTTGTGAAGAGTGTTGAGATTTTTATTATGAACTCAGACTAAAGATAAAGCTAACTGTGCTTACCTATAGAACACCAAAATAGGAAGAAATTTCAGCTTACTATCTTATTGGGACTTAAAATAGTCCATGTTTAGGCTTTTGAGTGCAGGAGGAGGTCAAGCATACACATTTACTTTTATTAAATACTGTGATATTTGTGGAGAATTAAGATTTCAACTTAATTTTTAAAATGGCTTTATTATTTTAACACTTTTAAACCATCACTTGAGGATCTTGCTGTACAGAAGACACTATCCTGGGCACTACTGCCAGTAAACAGACGCCTAATAAAACATCTCTGCTCAAACAGATGTTTATATCATGAAAATGAATATATATAATGTTGAGTCAATCCCAAGTTAAAATTTCAGAAATTATTCAATTAAAATTCAGAAACTGTTCACCTTTAGTCCCAGCCCCAGCACTGGAAAGGCCGAAGTGGGCAGATCTCTGTGTGTTCAAAGCCAGCATGTTCTATATAGTGAGTTTTAGTGCAGACAGAACTATACAGGGAAACTCTGTCTCAAAAAATATGTATTTTCCCCCAGAATATATTAGGAGTGCTTTGATAAAACTAAGGTCATTTCTTACTGAGCAACCAAGAATAGAAATAACTGGTCACCTAGCTTTCTCGGAGAGGCATTTTGAATGAGCTATTTTGTGCACAGCTCCACTTCTTGTGTTCACTCTGTAGTACATATACGTGACTTTGACCTACTTCTGGCTACACACTCTGGATTCACCTATTTTTGGTTACCTGCTTTCTGTTCTTAATAATCAGTCTTACACTGTAATATGTCTTCATTCTAGACATAATTTAACTTACTTACAATGTTTAGACTCAGCTGCTGTACTATAATTTACCTTTTATTTGTAGGTTACACTTCTGATTTTGCATCCTATCAACTTGCCTTTACATGCTCTAGCTCTGGCTTCTGTTTCTGAATTATGTCTTTAATTCTGTTCTTCCGAAGAATCGAGGCTTCCTTGTAACCAATTTTCCTCAGCACTGGTCTGTTAGTTTTATCATTGGTTTAAACCATCTCCTTCACTTGAATTGTGATAACCAACACTCACCCACCTTATTTTAAAATAGTCATCATATAATTTTTATCTACTTTATTGCTTTGCCCCACCTTTTTAAATTTTAATTCTTAGATAGATCCTCCCTGTGGGGCCCAGGCTAGCCTCAAATTCATATTATTCCATTATTCCTGCTAATGCTGAAATTACAGGCATGTGCTACCATGCTTAGCATAGTCTGTCACATTATAAAAAACAGGGCAAGGGAAATGACTCAGTGGTTAGAGCGTCAGAATCGGAGTTCAGAATCCAAATGCATGCTGGGTGGCTGGGTGGCCCACCTATAATCCCAGCCTCAGGAGGCAGAGGCAGGGGATCCCCAGAGGGAACTGGCTGAATGAATAAGGTATAAAAGGTAACTAGGATGATTCTCGATATCCACGTCTGGCTTCTACACTCACACGTGTGTACCCACACACACATGTGCCCAAACCCAAGCAAACAAACAAGCATACACATGTTTATGCCACATAAACAAAGAAAAAACAGACAAAAACCAACCAAACAAAAACAACCTGCACAGTTAGCATAGAGATGGAGGTGAAGCACAGGACTGCCATCTTCCTGTGAGGCTGCCTTGTTCAGCCCGACTGCTCTGAGGTAGAGGTGACTATTACCATACAAACCTCTCCACAAGTATTACTGGAACTTGTTCACCAAGGAACCAGCTAAAACACACACTCAAAAGGATGCTGTGTTCTTATAAGAAAGAAAGCAAGACTGAGTAAGAATCACTAGAGAATAAAACAACAATATAGAAGGATGAACAAATCAAAAGCTGGTCTTTTACTAAGAAAATGTATGAGATACAAATGATGACTGATGAAAGAGTTAAAAAATACTATCATGAATAGTTTTGTTAACAAATCTGAAAATCTAAGAAGTATAAAGAACTCAGACTAAAAAAGAAGAAAAAGCCGGGCGGTGGTGGCGCACGCCTTTAATCCCAGCACTCGGGAGGCAGAGCCAGGCGGATCTCTGTGAGTTCGAGGCC